CACAAGGGAATGAGTTTTTAGGAAAATTCTTGCCTCCATAAATTGCACAATAAAATCAATGAGCTTTTGCTTCTGCATCTCCTCGCAGTGGTAATTTGTGATGAGAAAGCTAATGTCATAACCCTGGTTAATGATGCAAAAACCAAAATTAAAAATAAAGTTTATGCAAATAGCTAGGGCACGTAATCCATCTGAGAACCTAATAGCATAACCCAGAGCACACTATGAACTCATCATTTTAATGAACTCAACATGCAAAAGTTGAAATTAGATCATACAAAAAAGTCGCCACATCAGAATGCTCTAGGCTAGAACCCTGTAGCAACTAGCATGCATTGACAGAAACAGAGCTAACATAACAGCCCCAACAGTTAACAACTTAATCAGAATCCAAATGTTCATTATATATTAACATAACATTTTTCCACATACAATTGGCAAACGACAACCATAATATTCCTTTTGCAACAATTATAAAAGTAAAGATAATGATCATTCCTAAATCCCTAAGCACTTAAGTTGCTCAAGCAACATGAATAAGGAATAAATTGTAATGCTAACAAAATGAGATAACCACACATATACCTGAACTGGCTTTCTCCGTAATACTTGAAATGCTTCTGCCCTCATTGACAAAAATCTAAGAAACTTTTTAGTTAATATATTTTCGAGTTCATCTGCCTGCTTTACCTATACAAAAGGATAATAGCAAGCATATCAGGAAAACTGAGAGAGCTTGCAATTTTATTCTTATCATATGCTAACAACAAACTTCAGTAGGATAAAAGCTTTCCCAGAAATAAAAGCAAAGGAAAATGCTATCTATGTTGGTGCTTGACTGATACTCTATTTATACACTCAAGATTAATGTGAAGGAATAAAATCCAAATTAGGTCTTTCCTGGTTATATATCCACTTCTCATCTCTGCACAATGACTTGTTTATATTACTTGAAATTTTTTTACATAAATTCAATCCATGATATGTTTCTAATAGGCAGAAAAAACAAAGAAAATAAATCCAGAAAGAAATGATTCAGTTCAACCTTGAGACTTATCCTTAGTGAATTGATAGATGTTTCAATCAAACATTTTTCAGCCTCATTTCGACAAATCAAAACCTGTAAGGGGAAATGTGAATATTAAGAACAACTAATAGGCAGCAAACAAACATATTAAGCATGATGACTGACAATGCAAAAGTCTAAGCTTGAAAGGAATGAAACAAAGAAGGTCCCTTTCTTACTCTACCAGTGAAATCAAATAAAGATATTTCATATTTCCACAATAAACATAGGTCAACATGTTATGTCATCTACGTGAATTTTAACAAGTTAAACTCATTATTAAATTGAATTATCTGAAGAACACTAAATATTGCATATGGAGAGAAGTGACAAAAGTATGCCTGAAGGGTCAGTATACAATCCAGTTCAGCAACACATATGCTAAAAAGAAGCCCAATACAGTGTTTGGTAAAAGCAAGTTGCTTTCCTCTTTTCTTAAGCATCTGTAGTTCCTAGATTGTTAAAGTACCCAAAAATATAAAACCCTTGACCCAAAAATTTATGTGTTCCATGTTTTAAGCAGTTTCATCCATACGCTAGTTTGTGAATGCAAAGAACTGTAGGCAAAAGGTTTAAAGAATAAAAAGAAGAGGAAAACAAATTAAAAATATGAAGTTGAAAATTAGACATTGCATTCTGTGAACCACCAAAATAACATAATGATTTAAGTATAAAGAAAAGGTATCGTCTGCCGAGTTGGGATGATGGTTCTTACAGGATTTAGCAGTAGTTCTGGGCTTGTCCTGTAAATTGCAAGCCAGAAAGGTTACAGATCGTCAATGAAACCCATACCATAAACAAAAAGACCATAATTCAGTGATACAATACATGACATTAAAATAAGGTTACAGATCGTCAATGAAACCCATACCATAAACAAAAAGACCATAATTCAGTGATACAATACATGACATTAAAATAAAGCAAATAGGCTTAACTACCAGAAAATATACACTGTGAGGCTTTCTACGCACAGACATCAAGCAGGTGATGAACAGTGTGCATGCAGCTGAATTTCTTAAGTATATAAATTTAGTATCTCTTCTACTTTGTTCATTTGTGTCATTTGTGGCATGCACAAAACTAAAAAATCATCTTTTCACTAAAAGATTTGGAAAATTTGTCATCATAATAGAGGTATTATTGTACAAACTACTGAACAAAGAGACAAGCAAGCAGATTTAAAGATTTCATAGGTTTAAAAGATGATATAAATACAGAGATGAGATATAGTCCATGTGAGAAATTCAGCATAACCATAGGCAAATCCAGAATAACAAAACAAAGAGCAAAATGCAATCTTTGATACATACTTTAGCTCAACTTCTGGCTTATTATGTCTTTCGACCTCTTGACAAGGAAAGTTCTGCGATCATTACATGAATACAAGAGTTAACAAGACTGAGTAAGCATTAATACCATGCAAGCTTGAATTAAGT